AGGACATCTGTCCCAAAAGTGCTGTGTCCTGTAAAAGCGCCATTCCAATTGGCACCATGAATGTATTAGGACGGTAAGCTCAGGTAGCCAAACACCTAGACTACTCAGGAGAAGTGGGTACTTCCATGTTTAGATCAACATCTTACAACCTTCACTGAGAAGTCATTTAAACCACCTAACTGGATCAAAGCTAAAATGTAGAGCTGGGCAGAACATTTTTGATAAAATGTTTTTTAGTTGAAATATGCTGTCTTGTCAAAGCCAAAATGTATTGCAGAGATGTATTTAGTTTGGTGAAGTTTTCATCAGGAAGGTTTTTGCAGTCCAAGATTGTCTCTCAGGTCACAGAGAGAGACCTGAATTGAAAACTTGACCTTTTCAATCCTTAAACGGATGTTTCTGACACAATTCTATTTTGCAAAAATGTCTGAATGTTTTATCTTCATTCCAGTGCAGAACAAAAACAAATTTTTAAACCTCAACATTTTGTCGTGAAATGGAATTGTCATTCTCCAGCCAGCTCAAGTAAAATATCAATACTTAACAGCTTATAGCCTTACCTTCGGTCCTGGAAGGCCTTGAAGACCCTACAGTTGAGATAAGAAATGGTAATATTTTGTTACTATGATTTTAAATCCCAGTATCCTGGTTTCATGTGCAGTGTGATAACTTGCTTTTCTGACAAGGTGGATGAGGTAATATCTTTTATTGGACCAACTTCTGTTGGTGAGAGAGACAAGCTTTTGAGCTTACACAGAGCTTACACAGAGCTGATCCAATAAAAGATATTACCTCTCCCACCTTTTCTCTCTAATATCCTGGGACCAACATAGTTACAACAACACTGCATACAACCTTTCTCTTCTGGCATACTGAGCTCATTTATACTTAATGTGACATTGTCAACTACATGCATACATAGTGTTTTGGAAGGTATCATTTTTTACACTAGGATATACTTCATGTACTCTGGTTTGGTAATGAAGAGAGTGTATCCAAAAACAATCCGGCAGTGGTGCATGCCAGCTGCTAAGATTTTCCTGGTTCGTCACTCTGATTACATTTCTCTAGTGGTTCCCGGTTCACCTTTGCATCAAACACAAGCGCTTTCCTTTAACTTTAAGGCCCATCACAACATAGGGTATGGCTATCTAGCTAAATTAGTAACCTTCTGCTGTGTCAGTTCCTCTCTTTACGCTGCCGTTATTTCCAACCTTTACTGCCAACCTGTGAGCTTCGCCCTCAGATACCTCTGTCTCCCACACCGCTTCTTATACACGAGAAAAGCTCCATCAAAAATCTATACAGCCATTACACTAGCTTCATTCAAATATTTCCTTAAGTCTCATCCCCCAAAGTAATCAAACAGAACTTACTGCAACACCTGGTGGGCCTTGGGGCCCGGGTGGCCCCGATACCTAAAACCAAGGTAAAAAAGTAATTGTCATAATAAATGCTTCTGTGAAAGTACAAGGCACAGTCTATAGAAAACTAGATATTTGAGAGCAGTGGATGGCTGGTTATTAAATCACATGGAAAATGGCGTTTGCCACTCCAAGAAGCTCATGAAGGTTATGAGGATGCTGTCGTGTCAGTGATAAGGTGGCTGGTGTGAGACCTGCAGAGTTTCAAGAAGCACTGGTGACAAGATTCAACTGTACATCTTCTGATAGTACAGAAAAACGTGAAGAGAGACACTTACTGAGTCCCCTGGGTCTCCTTTTTCCCCATCCTCACCAGGTTCTCCTTTCTCTCCCTGTAAACACAACAATATAACTATGTAAACAGATTTCAGAGTGGTAGCCGTGTTAGTCTGTATCAGCAAAAAGAATGAGGTGTAATTGTGGCACCTTAGAGACTAACAAATGTATTTGAGCATAAGCT